GCCAACCACTGCACCAACACCTGAGCCCACGACTCGGCCAACCACTGCACCAACAACTGAGCCCACGACTCGGCCAACCACTGAACCAACACCTGAGCCAACACAGACGCCGACAACAACACAAAAGCCCAGTACTGAACCAAATCCTACGTCAGAGCCCACACCCGACACAACAGCCGAACCCACACAAGAGCCTACGTCTGAACCGACAACTAAAGCAACACCAGATCCTACACCTGAACCCAGTACTGAACCCACACCAGAGCCAACACCTGAACCCACACCTCAAACAACACCAAAACGCACACCTGAGCCGACCCTCGAGCCGACCACCAGTGAAGAGCCACTAACTGAGATCACATCCGAGTCGACCCCCAAACCCATCACAAGCACAACAGATGGTGAGTCGAGCACCGGTGGGTCGACCACACAAACCACACCCACAGATGTGCCCACAGAGATACCGACGACCACACCGTTCGTGTGTCCGGTGGAGGACATGGAGACCGGATGTCGGGGTGAGAGGGACTGTCTGTACCCGAACCCCGAGAGCTGCAACACATACATCCAGTGCACTGTCAACCCGGACGGCACAGGCAATCAACAGGTGATGCCCTGCGCTATAGATCTCGAGTGGAACGACCAGAAGAAACAATGCGATTACAAGAATCAGTCCACGTGTCCCGACCCAACTCCATGTCCCGACCCGGAGCCCACATCTACTACTACCCGAATGCCGCCAACGCCTACTACCGGTTCCACTGATCAGCCAACAGATCAGACAACCCACGGATCTACTGTTACTGAAGAGCCCATCACTGCTACGCCGGAGCCGACAGATGAGACAACTCTAGACACTACCACAGACGAGACAGTAACCCATGGATCCACTGAGCGATCAACTCAGGGATCCACTACTGAAGAGCCCGTCACTACTACTCCGGAGCCGACAGATGAGACAACTCTGGACACTATCACTGAAGAGGCCTCAACCCAAGCATCCACTGAGCGATCAACTCAGGGATCCACTACTGAGGAGTCCACTGAAGTGCCCACAACTCATGAGACAACTCTGCCATCAACTGAGGGGTCGACTCAGGGATCCACTACTGAAGAGCCCATTACTACTACTCCGGAGCCAACAGATGAGACAACTCTGGACACCACCACACAAGAGTCCGTAACCCATGGATCCACTGAGCGATCGACTCAAGGATCCACTACTGAAGAGTCCACTGAAGTGCCCACAACTCAAGAGCCGACAGACGAGACAACTCTGGACACAACTCCTGAGGGTTCAACACAAGAGTCAACGGACAGGACAACAGTGGAGACGACTGCGCGGCCAACCGCTCGGCCGACATCCGGACCGGCGTTTGTCTGCCCTCAGGAGGACATCATCAGCACCGGGTGTGAGGGCCCGAAGGACTGCCTCTACGCCAACCCCCAGAACTGTCACACATTCATTGAGTGCACCGTTAACTCGGATGGTGTGTCGGGAACGCCGCGAGTGATGCCCTGCGCGGCACAACTCGAGTGGAATGACCACAAAAAGGAGTGCGATTACCCCGAGTTCAGCACCTGTCCCGACCGCTCCACCCCTCGCCCCTCAACCACTTACTCGCCCACCGATACTACGGTTACCGAAGAGCCCACCACTAGTCCGGAGCCGACAGATGAGACAACTCTAGACACCACAACTGAAGACACGGCCACTCAGGGATCCACTGAGCGATCGACTCAAGGATCCACTACTGAAGAGTCAACAGAAACGCCCACAACTCAAGAGCCGACGGATGAGACAACTCTGGACACCACAACTGAAGACACGGCCACTCAGGGATCCACTGAGCGATCGACACAGGGATCCACTACTGAAGAGCCCATCATTACTACTCCGGAATCAACAGATGAAACAACTCTAGACACCATTACTGAAGGATCAACTGATGGGTCGACTCAGGGGTCCACTGAAGAACCGGTGGATACGACTACAGCGGAGTCCACAGATGTGCCCACTACTACTGAAGAGACTAGCGATGGACCGACACAGGGATCAACTGAAACGCCTATCGATAGAACGACGGGCGCTGAGCCCACACAGGGAACCACTGATGAAACTGAAGAGCCCACAACTCAGGAGCCGACAGACGAGACAACAGTCGACACAACCACTGAAGAGCCGACAGACGCGCCGACAACACCCGATCGGTCGACAACTGAGTCGCCGGTCAGCACAACGGGAGGTACGTCCGCACCGCAGACCTCATCAACAATATTTACCTTCACATCGACGGAGCGGACGACTACTGGGGCTCCGGTATGCGATCCCGACGGCGATGACGGAGCGGATGACGGCCTAGACTTGAAGTCCTTGTGCGGCGATGGAGAGGGAGGCACCGGGTGTTCGGCCCGTCGACTGATCCCTAACCCCAATAGTCAAAAGAGGTATATCATGTGCGCCGGCGCTGACGGTCAGGATAATAGTATTGGTAAATGCAGTCCCGGTTTGCTGTTTGACAGCCGGCGCCTGACCTGCGATTACGCCGGACTCGTCAACCCTCTCGGCCCTAAGTATTGGTGATGTTTTGATTAAATGGCATTTAATTATTAGTTTGTATTATGTTTTATAAAAACAATTGTTTATATATTATTCATTTGAAATTAATTAAATATGTTTGTAATGAATTTGTAATGCATTTAAGATTTAAAAATGATTTTTTAATATAAATTTTTAATTTACTTTACATTAGTATTTGATTATTGTGTTTAATCTCTCTCTCTCTCTCTCTCT